CACGTCGGGAACAAAAAGCATTGGATAGAACAGCCCCATGGGAGGAACCTATGCAATAGTATTTGTCAATTGTCATAGTCTAAGCATGGCACTATATAATGGCAAAATTTGAGGGCTAATGAAGAATGAATTTTACTGAGAACATGTACATTGAGAGCAGTAAGTCTTGTCCTGTGAGATCCAGGCGGCCCTTTGTCCTCGTAGGAATGAACTACTGCAACAGCATCAAGTTGCCCCTCCTATAGACAAGATACTAGATAACTGATATCGAATTCAAGTTTGGAAGCAAGGTAAAATTAGTGTACTACCGCTAGTAGTACGTGATTTGATGCTTTTTTTAATTCATCAGACACGTGTACTATTTGACTATTTCAATATGTTCGACTATCATTGATCAAAATATAATTTACTTTCTAAGAACTACAAAGTGGCAAATGCATGGTGTTGTTAAATAGCGGCCATGACAGAATGGTGACCCATTTTTTTGACAACCGCCACAGCCAATTTGTGAAGGGATGCCGGCCGTAGCGGTGGTATAGACCGTAATAGCATGTTCATATGGCAGTGCTATAGACCGTAATGGTATGTTCTTATAGAGGAATTTTGGCCTTCCATCATTGATATTACTGCAAATGCATGCAAGAGTGCAATGAAGAGATAACAAAGCTGAGAGAGAAATGAATGGAAAACTCATGCTATAAATAGCTTCTCTTGTATTGTTCACGACTCTTGCTTTTTTCTCAACTATGAATTATGGCATCTCGTATGAGTTAATATGATATAGTAATTTGGAAAAATGAGATAAAGTAGTAGAACTCACTCTGATTTCACAATATGACTCTTTCAGTTGATTTAACATTAACAGATCTATAGGCTTTGTCAACATATCTGTTCGAATTTGTGGATAGGTCTGGTGATGCCTTTGCGTCCAGAGAAGGCCTCTTGATATATCCTGAAAATATGTAGTTAATAGTTAAAATACTACCACAAATAACTATTTCAAAACACCAGAAACGCGTGCAATATAAAAATATATTTTGTACCTCACCGCCAAAAGTTAAAGTCCTCGCAGTTGATGGTAGAGCAGCTCCATCCTAAACAATAAAAGAAGCAGTTAACGACCAAAAACTTGGCCAGTTTTTATTTTTCGATCTATCTGAAATCTGAACAATCATCAAGCATGGAGAGAACCCAATTTGATAGATAATTTGAGGCACAAGCTCATATTCAAAGATGGTGAATGAATATAACCAGCAAATGTAAATTTCCTTAAAAACAAAGATGCAAAACTAACTTGATACAAAAGACTAAACAAACAGTAACCCCTATTTCATTTACCTCTATGCATATAAGTGATGTAACTTGAGCACCAATATTCACTACACATGCTGTTGATAATCCATTTCCAAAAACTGCAGCAAGACCTTCCTGATCAAACAATTCCATATGAAATCATTAGAAACTAAAAGAAAATCCTGACAATTGTTCCTTTTCTGCATACAAAATCTTATTTATTCAACTGCTTTTATAATGATAGAACAAAAATTGTAGATTTGGGATATCGAACAACATCAGACCCGACACCTTCCAACAGTAAGACTCGGTTTCATATGGAAACTGTTGAGCAAAACTATGACTGCAAAGTAACCCAAAGCTTATTGCTGATATCAGCGTTTGTCTATACTCTAGTTATTAGCTCACCAGTGTTAAGGGAGTTTGGTATGTTCTCCAAAGTAATCTTAAAATACTAAAAGTTAAAAGCAATAATCATTCCATAATAATAGTCATCGATCCTACATTCATCGTGTAAACGTATAGCAATAAAGGGCATACCTGGTGCACCACTGCTGAGCCAAAGCATAGTTCTTGTAGAACTACGGATAGAATTTCCTTTATTTCTGCTTGTGTCATGGACTAAAACATAAATAGACTATACCACTAGTCTGAAATACAAACTCAAAGGGAACTCTAACAGGTAAAAAAAATGCGACATTTTCTTTGAAGGAATAAAATTCTAAGTACCACGATTATCAAATGTTTCTGGCATGACAAGAATAGCAGAGTACATGTTTCTTTCATTGCGAGGAATATGTAGTTTCTCTATTAAAATCCAATCCCAAATAGCACGCAGATCCTCAAGAACCTGCAAAATAGCCAAGAATTAGTGATGTAGAATGAAAGCAAGAAATAATCTGAGACATCCAATTGTCATTACACAATAATAGCATGTATCATACATCTCAAATATATGGCCTATCAAACAACTCAACAGACTCTAGATTACTGGGAGATGCGACACAGACATTTCACTAGAGTAAGCCCAATCCTAGATAATAAAAAAGGCAGTTCAACTTTGGAACCTATATCCAACGACTCGAGCAACTAAACCATAAATACCTAAACTATTGACAACAAACCCCTAACTCACTAATATAAACCCTAACTCCCAATTCCAAATTACATCATAAATTGGTATAGTCTATTAATAGCTATACCATAACCCATTGTTGCATTATTCTCCGTTATGAAGGAAAATTATTGTCGATTTTTGAAACGGTGAAATGACAGATGAATTCAACAAGCAGCAGCAAAGAAGCTCATAAGACAAAACAAGTCTTAACAAAATACAAAACAAGTAACATTACATTATGATGCAATGCAACAGCTAGCTTATAAGGCACAATACAGAATTCCAAGATGCATATTATCTTTTTTTTTTGCGCATCAATTAACTATTGCATTGGTTTTAATTTGGTACAGAAGTGACATGTACCTGCTGCATAGGATAGTGTTGTGAAATATTCAAGTGTCCTCTGCGGATTGGACGACATAAACAATAAGGTTCAGAGGGAGATATCCTTAATGCTTCCTCACCACAAATGAACTCTCTGAATTTTCTATTGCTCGGGCCAATTTCCTTCAAATCTGTACCACCTTTTGGGTCCAAAGACACGCTAGTCTCGTCTTTATTCGTCGTCTCTGCAAATGCCAATTTATATAAATAGAACATATGCTAATAGATATAAAATAACAGCATTTCAAAGTCGAAGCAAGAAGTAAATTTCATATAGTGAGTCGGTGATGTTAATAACGAGTCAAAACGAACAAGAAAGCTAAATCATTATGTTTGTTGTTCACAACTGCTAAGCTAGTTGACATAAACAACCCAAAGCCACATATGCAACTGAAGAGTACAGGAAAGTACTAGATGATATACAAAAAATATCATTTCCTCTTACCTAATGCTGAAAGTGAAGACGAACTAGTAACCTCCTCGTAAACGTTAGTCCAAGTGAAAGGCGACTCTTTCCTGTTACTATGTGGATTGTATCCATCAACACGTCCCATCTGTGCATATAGTACAATGGAAGTCATAGTATTAGCAATGACTAATTATCTGTTTTATGATGCTATACTAATCTTATCCCAAAAACAACCAAAGTAATTGACAGAATCTTCCAAATAAAGGATTTTTATCTGCTCGAGAGTGAGAAAATGACTTTTCATATATCAGTATTCATACTTGTTAAGATGCTATAAGTTTTACTACCGCTGAATGATCAGTTTTATGTATTTATGTATACTGGGGGAATTATCCGTTTGCAAACTATATTTTAGTTTTCACAATAGCGGTCATCTCACTTTCGCTATACCACTTTAGCTTTTCTGGGGTCAAGCACTCTACGTCGCTATTCGAGATTAACAACATAGCTTAGGATTCCCAAAAACGGTCAATCAAATTACAAGGCTATTTCCTTCATGAATAATGTATGTACCTGTCAGCATGTTTGTCTTATGTAGTTCATCACTTTTCGTAAGATTAAAATCGGCAACATGGCAAGTACAACAAATATCACAGGTGTCACATTATTTGAAATGCAGTCCCAAGCTTAAACAGTTCCAAGGAAACCCTGGGAAGATTCAAAGTAGTCATTCCCGAATAGCGGCAGATAGCAGTCGACCCCAAAAGTGGAATAGCGGGATAGCGTAAGCAGGATGACGGCTCTATTTGATCCTTTTTTGGGCAAATTACATACAATAATTATAATTTATAAACATATATTCAATGTAAAATTAGACAAATAACTCAACTCATAAAATATTTACAAATCAAAGCACACATGACTCTTGAAGTGCATAAATGACTACGAAGGAAGGTTAAGGTTGAGTCTCAACTAAAATTTGATTGAAAAACCCAAAATTTCCCTCAAGACATTGTAATTTCAAGGCTATGTTTGGGAGTTTGGAGGGGAAGGGAGGGAAGGGCTTTGAAAAATAGGAACGATTGGGTGAAAAGGATAGAAAGATTTTGCTTGGGAGGGTTTTGGAGGGTTTATTTTTCTTCAGAACGCCAAAAAAAAACCCTAATTTGGGGGAACCTAAAATTTGTATTGGAGGAGGGTTTTAGAGGATTTTGGAGGGTTTAATCAATTTGTTCAAATATAATTTTTGTTGTTATGGTATTTCAAAAATTAAAAATACATTAATGATAAACATTATTTTATCATTCTAACAAAATCTTCTTTTCAAAAAATGTTGGAATTTTCTTTATAATTTTTAAAAAAATCATTTTTGGAAGCCCTCCCTTCCCCTCCCCTCCAAACTCCCATACATAGCCTAAGGGTAATTTTGGTTTTTTTAAGGGAAAAAGGCTCTGCTATGCTCCACTATCCCGCTATTTATCTTATAGCGGACGCTATAGTGTTTGTTAGGTACTTGGTTTGGGCCTAAATCAACCAAATGTGTCAAACTGCCGGATCTCCAGACGGAGCCAGTGAATTGTTAAAACCGGATAACCATGGGAAATTATCGGAAACTACTAGATAATTGCCGGAAACTTCAGAAACCACCGGAAACTGTCGGATAACTGCTGGAAACTGCAGTATAACTGCCCGAAACTGCTGGAACACTGTCGTAAAACTGCCCAAAACTGCCGGAAACTTCTGTATAACTGCTGGAAACTTCCTAAAACTGCCGGATAACTATACGGAGAGCCAGCAATGGAGGACGTTTGGACTATGAAGAGGGAACTACCAGATTTTATGGGGACAAATCCTGTTGGTTGGATCTCTGCGGCTGAAAAGTTCTTTGAGAAGAACAAAATTCATTCCGAAGATAAGTTGCAGTGGGCATTCATGAGCATGGAAGATGAAGGAGCGATGCTATGGTTTTATTATTGGTGCGAAGAGAATCCAGATGCTGACTGGAATTCACTTTTTAAGGCTATGACTAGAGAATTTGGAGCACAAATGGTGCAAAATCAAGAATCTAAGCCGAAACTATGGAAGGTGATAGAAACACACGATAAGCCAAAGTTAGAGGAGATGAACTTCACTGTAGAACGAGAAGCAAAAGGTTATGCAAAAGTAGAATCTGACTCCAAAGAGATTGTTGATATAGTGATAGAAACGGATTACCGAAAACGAGGAGCAAAAGCAAAGTGTGACAGAAGAATGAATAAGATGCAAAGAAAGTAGCAAGTGTTTGTTTTTGGGCCACCTCCGTTGCCGGAGCCGCCGGACACCGTCCTTTATGTGGTGGCAAATGAGATTCAAATAATACAAGCGGTTGTCGTCGAACTCCGACCCCCACCGGAACCGCCAAACGCGGATTCGCATGCACAAATCTCTTCAAGCTCTGATCTGCAAGGAAGGAAAACGGGGTTCCATGGGTTGCTCAACTTTGTATTTGACAGAGGCAAGTTTTTGTCGAGGAAAGATTTGGCAGCAAGGGATGCAATATCTCAGCCTTGAGGTCCAGGCTGTTTTTTAAGGGGGTGGGTATCGTTAGGTACTTGGTTTGGACCTAAACCCACCAAATGTGTCAAATAGAGGAATAATTTATATTTGCTGATGTGGCTAGTTGGTTAGAGGGGAATAATAGTTATATAAAGGATGGGGATAACAAGGGAGAGGGCATTGAGAATTATTAAGTTAGGAACCACGGTTTGGGCAGAGAGAGAATTGTCTCTTCTCTGAGGAGCTTTGCTCTGGGATTGCAGGGGTTCTATCTTCTGTAATAGTTATTATTTTTCCATTAATAATATAATTTATTTTCTCTTGAATATTGGGTTCCTAACAGTGTTCTTCACCGCCAAGACTCTTCCCATAGCAGTCGGCCTCCGCTCCGCTATAGCAGAATAGCGCCACTATTGGCCGCTATTGACTACTTTGGTTCAAACATTACAAAGTATCACTTAAAGTGTAACAGAATAAGATATTATGTACCTTTCGGGGGAAAGAGCTGCCAGAAGGTTCTTCATCCAGAAAGGGTATCTTCAACAAAGAAGCGATCTTTTTTTCCACACAGAAAAAAAAGCATAAAAAACCAATATCAGCAAAGTGTAGCATAGAAGTAACATCTTTACAAAGTGCCATAACTTACAACATCATAAGCCTTTTCCCTTTCCATGTGCTGTGTAGTTGTAACCTGACTATTAAGCATCTAAAGACAAAAAAACAAACAACAATTAAAGTAAAACACTTAGACCTACATAGAAATTGAAGACAACATAATAAAACAATTTCAAAAACCTGATCTTGAACATTCCTCTTAGGAACCTGTTTGGTATAGTGAGCAATGCAATGAGGAACATTAAAAGGGGTATCCTGTGAAGCAAGGCCAATTCTAATATTTGCAGAACCTGAGTAAACAACCATGAAGTTACATAAATTAAAAAGTTTTGATTTTTAATATAAAAGAGAGTAAGATGGAAAATGGGTAATGCTCAAAATTGAATTTTTTCCATACCAGGGTTGATAACAACGAGATTGGAGCCTCGTTCGGACATTATTTGTGAAGGAAGCGCAGATTTAAGGTAATCCTGTAACATAGAACACATGAGAACAAAATTGTTGAAAGGGTTAACGATTAGAGAGAGAAAGAGAGGAACTGTACCATGGGAAAGTAAAGTTCGGAAAATTTGACGTTTTTTCCTGTTTTGGTTTCTCTGCTATTGTTTTGATTTTGAACTGAGAAAACACTTTCTTTTAGTTTTAACAGATTTTTCCGGGGAAGGATCGTCTTTGAACTACTAGTAGTACTACTTTCTTCGATTTTTTTATAAATAATAATGTTTCTTAATAAAATCTCTCAAATAATTATTTTTCCTAAATAATTTTTAAAAGACTCATGTTTCAAACAAATAAAAATTGCAAATGCATTGCACATGTTAATTCAATTAGTGATTTCATTTAAAAAGTAAGAGTTCAGCTAGGGTTGGCAACGGGGCAGGTCGGGGGCGGGTTTAAATACACCCAAATCCGCATTTGTCACCTAGATTCAGACTCGTCCTCGCCTCCAAACTCGGTTGGGGTTAATATTTGTTCTCTCACCCCGCCCCCAATAAGAAACGGGTTTCCCCACATCCGCCCTATACCCGTCCGAATAAAATATTAATTTTTTAAAATTTATATTTTTTTCAATAAAAATAAAAATCAATAATTAAACTAAATGGTTAATTATTTTAAAAGTATTTTTATGTTTGATATTTTTATTTAAATTATATTTTCAAAAATAAATAAATAATAATTCTAATAAACATGATATTATAACATTAAAAAGTGTAAATGAGTAATAAAACTATTAAAAAATATATGAAATAAATTAAGTTTAGTTGGCGAGTGCGGGTGCAGGGTGGATACTAGCATCACCCGCCCCCGCACCCGCACTCGTAAATAAAAATTGAATTTTCTCTGCACCCGCACCCGATTAAACTGGATTTTCCCCGCTAATTTCGGGGTGGGGACGGTCGGGGCCCGACGGGAACGGGTTTATTTGTCATGCCTAGTTTCAGCCAATTCAATTAGCGACTACATTATATCTAACTAATTGAGTTGACGATAATATATAATTTATAAGAGTAATCACCAATTCATTTGGCTCATATGTGTTGTAATACAAAAAAATTTAATATATGTAAAGGTGTGCCTTTTAGTACCATTTATTTCACACATCTTCTCATTTTCTCTTTAATTTTTACTTTAGTTGTTCTAACATGATTAGTAAAAGAAATGAGCATGTTTGTTTTTCGAAAATCAACTCTCTGATGAAGATGTATTTTTTAAATATTCGGAGTTTTGAGTAACTTTAGAGAAATTTGAAGCTTTGGCTAGACAGAGAGATTAATGGCGATGTAAGAATAAGAAGTATCGAGAGACTTGTTTCGTACATCTCTATTGTGGATGAAAATGATGATATCTAACGTAAGTATGTGCTAGTTAAAGATGACAATGATATTAGAGATATAATATATGTACCAGGTGATTTTTTATAATTATTGTAATCTCTTAAATATGTTGTGGGGTTAAATATTTTTTTGTTGTTGTTTGTCTTGTTGTTGTAAGCGTATTTATGTTCGTGTGTTGTTGTTTTAGAGTTGTTCATGTTTGTTTTGTTGTAACTAAAAGTCATGGAATGACGACATATACTATAAAATCTTACCATTTTATCAACCGTATATATTTTGTGAGTGCAACTTGCCTCAAAATGTGTTTTGTATGATGTCAAAACTGTAAGAATATAGCATTTTTGTATATTGTGTGGTACCTATGAGTTTGAGTGGCCCCCTACGCATTAAAGGTCTTAAGAATCATTGGAAACATAGTCAAAAGTGACTCAATCTCAAAAAATCATTTATTGCACTAAAAATGCTATTACAGGTCGGCTCATGTACTGCTCTGGTTAAGTAGTTTTCTTTTGTCTTGGTCAGATCGACTCATGTACTGCTCTGGTTAAGCAATTTTCTTTTGTCTTGGTCAGACCGACTCATAAGCCATATCAAGCCAGCTAATGTACTGTGTTGGTGTTTACCGGTGATTTCTGATAAACAGTCGCTAGTCTTCCAAACTTTATATTTTGGTAACTTACATGATCGACTAGATTGATCCTAGGACATAGTCTCAGTGTTTTTTACAGTCTAATTCGAATGAAAACATTGTTTGAATAATGATAAGATCTTTTGTATGGTTATTGTTATCTTAAAATGTTAAAGTTTGACTGTGAATTTTAAATGTGACTTTAAAGGGAATAATCTGGGAAATTGTGAAAATGTAAAGACAATGTTTGATAAGTAAAATTTGATGGCTTTGTTAAAAGATTAGACTGGAAACGAAAAGATAATACTGATAAAGGACTTTGCTGAAATCGAAAAGAGAATATGATAAAGAGTTTGCTGAAATCGAAAAGAAAATATGATAAAGAGTTTGATTGTAAATGAAAGAGAATAAAAGTAATTAGAGACTTTGTATTGAAAAATTAATTTTGAATATAAATTGGTGGTGTTCTTACACATACATTATCAACAGATTCGTTTCTCTCACGCCGGTACTTTGAGTATAATGTGATTTTTGTATACAATTCGAACACACTTTTTTCTTATATCTAAGATATCTATTTATACTGATTTGATCCTAACGGTCCTTCTACAAAAACACGCCACGTTCGAAGATTTCATGTCTTTCGAACTATTAGACTTCCACGTGTTTCTTAGGATAAGATCAAAGCTTTTGAATTCAAAATCTTCTTCTCCTTGAAGCGCAAATTTAATTTGAAGCGTCAATTCAAATAACATGACGGTCGAAGTGTATTTCTTCGTACTGCTTCGAATAATTTATATTCTCATAGTTCAAAAATGAGCTCTTCGATAATGATTCAACATAGTGAAGCTATTTACAAGCTTTTCATCAATCGAAGACTCCATAAAAGTTTTCTCATACTTTCTTTTGAACAATTCTTTCTTCAATTAAAAGCCTTCTCAAATGACTTTTTTTCCATCATGGCCAATTATTCAAAACTTGTATAATCGAAATTTCCATCTAACAAATTGCCCCCTCAAAAATGTGTATTTCGTTACATAGAGAAATAGTCATTTTGAATAACAACCTGTAATTTCGATGAATCATATATTCATGATAGCCACTTCTGACTAATAACAACTTCTAATGACAACTTCTGAAACCTTATGACTTTGGAGTATTTTGAATATGGGACTTTCTGCTTATGAATCAGAATCAGAAGATGAATATGAAGTTTCTGAAGATGAGTCAGAATTAGAAGATGACTCTGAAGCTGAAGATAAGTCATAATTTGAATGTGCCTCTGAGTCTGAAGAAGAATAAGAAGATGAATCGGAATCTGAAGAAGATTATGCTCTTGAAAATGAGTCATAACTTAGAAGTTCTAAAGGTGAAGAATGTTCTGGAGACTCTGAAGGTAAGTATTTTTAGACAAAGCCATTTTGGCAATTAATTTGACCACCATTTTGGTTGTATACACTTTTGCTGCTTATTCTCTTGCCATGATTTTTACTTCTTGTAAAAATGGTTTATACTTATTTAAGTATTTCCCATTTACTTTCAGGATTCTTCAATCCTCAGTTAACTCTTCTATTTCGTAAGCGTTGTTTGAGAATACCTTTAAGATTTGAAAAGGTCCTTCCAATGTGGAGACCATTTTCGTAACGCTTTATTCTTTCGATCCATAGGTAAAATGACTTTCCATACCAAGTCATTTATAATAAATGTCTTACCTCTGATCCTTTTATTGTATGCTCTTGCTACTCTTTCCTTTTGTCTTCTCAATCTTTCTAAAGCATGCAACCTTTTTTCATCTAAATCTACTAATTTATTCATCATCATTTCCCAATAAAGGTCAGAAGGAATTTCTCCTTGTCTTTAAATTCTAACTGACTATAAGTAGATTTCGAATGGCAATACTGCATCGAATCCAAATGTGAGTTGGAAAGGTGTGGTATTAGCTGCTTCTTTAGGGGAAGTTCGACAAGCCCATAATGCTTGGTCCAAAGTTTTGTGCCAATTTTTTGGCTTTTTTCCTACATGCTTCTTTACCAACCCAATTATCACCTTGTTGGCTGCTTCGACTTGGCCATTCGCTTGAGAATAATAAGGTGTGGATGTCAATAATTTGAAACGTGTTTCCTTGGTGAACTCCTGCATCTTTCGACCGGTGAAAACTGATCCTTGGTCTGTTGTGATACTCTCTGGGATACCTAATTTATAGACTATATGCTTCTCAATAAATTCGATAACAATTTCCAGATTCACATTTACTAAAGGTATAGCCTCAACCCATTTTGTAAAGTAATATATACCTACCAAAATGTACCTGTGGTTTTTAGATGAAGCAGGTCTAATTTCTCCAATTAGATCCAGCGTCCAACCTCTGAAAGGCTAAGGTTTAATAATTGTATGAAGTTCACTTATTGTTGCGTGTTGGATACCAGCATGCTTTTGGCATTCTTGACATCCTTTAGAAAATTCTATATAATCTTTGAGCATAGTAGGCCAATACATTCCATATCAAAATAGCAACCACTTCATTTTATGGCCTTCTTGACGGGCTCCACATGCTCCATTATGAACACTAGATAGTGCCAAATATGCCTCAGTTTCTCCTAAGCATTTTAGCGAAACTCCTTCAGGGTTTTTCTTGAACAACTCATTCCCCATTAAGATATAAGATAAAGCTCTGTATTTAACCTTTCTTTCTACATCTATCGAAGGATCTCTGAGGTAATTAATAATTTAATTTATCCAATCTGTATCTTCTAGAGTATTGGTGGTTAATACTTCGAATGCGTCTTTATTAGCGCCACGTAACTGAGTATTTTCCAGATCTGTTGGAGACAATCTTGTAAACATTGCCTTTCCTCTAATTTTGACCAACTCTTCAGTTTCTCTTTAGTCACTTTATACCCTGATGCTATTTGTGCTAAGTCATTAGCCTCTTGATTTTTTATTCTAGGGACATGCTTTACATCTGCATATTCAAACTTTTTAAGCAATTTGTTTGCCACAACGAAATACATAATCAAATTTTCTTTGATGCACTTGTACTCCTTTGTTAATTGCTTTATCACTAGCTCAGAATCTCCTCTGATT